GGGCCACAATGAAAGGGCAATTGAAAAGGATTAACTAGGAAGGGCCAGGGTCCCAGCAAACCCCAGAGACCTGGGCCTCCTGGGAAAGTCCAGGGCCTTTTAGGGGGTCCATCATTAGCATCCCAGCACCATCAGAAGCTATAAAACCCAGACTTGATTTAGTCCAAAATATGTCCTGAAATTAAATCAGAATGCGGATTGCAAGGGTACTCCCCTATTAGGATAGTTATAGTACATTAGAGCCTAAAACAAGGAACTGCCTCTAAGTCTCTGATAATTGTTTAGCTGAAAGATAGTAGGCTTTATAATATGAAGTTCTTGAAATAAATGAGTTCTGTAAAGAATAATGCTAAATAATTGAAATTATTACTTAAGCACCCCATCAATACCATTTGGGAATATAGATCCAGAAGTGATTGAATTAATTCTGGTTTCATGTTAAGTGACAGTAATGACCAGGCAGATTTTATTATTTGGCATTAAGACAAAATGTTGGGGAAATGTATGGATCAGGAAATTTGTTAGCTGCGTGGTCTTAAACCGAGTTACTTCAACTTACCAATTTGTTAACCGTATGAAAATAATGCCTAACATAAATATGATAATTCATTGTATTAAAAATAGGGATTAAAAAAGTGAACTCTTTCTTTGCTTCTCTTAGGTTATAGATTTAAATGTTAAAAGACTGATGTAAACGTGTATTTTTAAAACCTCTTTTAAAATGTAGAAAATAATGATGATGGTTTTCTGTGAGGTTGGTAAAACAAGGACTACTTAAAATATCCTTATAGCTTAAATGTTTCCTTGTACCATGCAAATTGAGAATTATTTAATTAACTCAGTCTGTGAAAACCCTCAAGGACTTTAATGGGCCATGCACTATCAGCATCAGACCAAACTCCTTAGGGCTTTTTGCTTGAGCCAAAAATCAGTCCTTAATCTGGAGTCCCAGAGTAAGGAATTTTAATAGCAATGGCTTATAATACTTAGCCCAACACACTTTGAGCTAACATAATAATAACAGTTACCAAACTAAATTGGTACAGCTTTAGATGTATTTTCTAATACTGTTAATGTAAAAATTAAGTACAATGTTTATAGTGTGAAATTTTGTAATACCAACACAGTTAGAAAAATAACTTCTCTTGTAATTCAGATTCTGATAGGTTATAAACATAGCTGTTAAAGAGTTGTCTACTTACTAGCTATGTGACCCTGGGCAAGTCACTTAATCCCAATTACCTAAAAAAAAAAAGAGTTGTACCCTGGGCAAGTCACAACCCGAATTACCTAAAAAAAAAAGTTGTCTAAAATTTATTATTTGGGGTAGTATTTCACTAGAATTGTAATGGTGGTTTTAAAAATTTCTTCCTTGTTTTAAGTCTCAGACTCACTATTTGATATGAATAAGATCAAAGGTGGGAAATATACTAGGATCAAAGATTAAGCTTCATTAGGTTTTCAACGGGAGATAGGGACAGTGGGTAAGGAAAGGACATTGAGTGGAGTATAGCCTCAGGAAACTGTTTGAGACCAGAGTGAGGTCAAAGAAAGTTTAAGGGTTTTCTGGGGACCATAGACAAATGGGACCCAAATTCTTTTTGGGGTGAGGGGCAAAGGTCTCAGCTTGGGCCCATACACCATCACTGGTACTATTTAATCTAAGGTATGGAAGCCCCATTGTGTTATGCTGAGGATTAAATGGAGACAAATTCTTCTGTCTAGATAGCCCAAGGCTAGGAGCAGTCTGCTATGGTTGGGGGTCTTCTGATAAAATTAGAGGTATTTCCTCTGTCAAGGGATGAATGACGATGGGGTGACCTCAGCCCCTGTAGGAAGTATATATAAACAGTGTACCCTAACGCTGAAATGAGTCCAGTTCCAGACTGGCTTCCCTAAGGAGCATGCTGCCTGCTTTGAAAGAAAACAATGAATACAGTCTAATTCTGTTTGGGTTTTTTTTTACTTTTTTTTTTTAGTAGTTTGAGGGTTCATTTAACACAAAAAAAATGTGCAAAGCTTTTTACTCATTTTCTTCACTCCTCAGTCTAGCATTTGGATTGGTGATCCTGATGGCTAGCTGAGCTGCTCTCTCAACAATGACTTTCCATTCTTAGAGGAAACATTGTGAGCACTGTTAAAATCTCAGCACAGTAAGATTTGTCACACATAAGGAGCACTTCTAGCTTTTTGACATTGCGCATCAAAAACTTCCTGAATCTACTTGGTTTGTCTCCTTATTGCTTACATAACCAATATTGGGCATCAAGATCTGGCCCTTAAACCATCTTCGCACCCTGTTGTCAATGCCTCTTGGTTTAGGCCAGTTTCTCTTGATCTTGACGTATCTGTCGGATTGGTGCCAGGTGAATTTCTTGGTCCTCTTCTTGAAGATTTTAGGCTTCTTGAGGGGTCTGAGGGCAGGCATGTTGCCAGCAAACAGATAGGACCTGCAGGGGAAGTGCAGACAGAAAGAGAGAGAGCCTGTTTGTCTTTTTTCAGACTAAACTCTGTGAGGTTGACATGATCTTGTGTTGTTATGTTCTGAAGTATTGTAGTTCAAGAAACTGGAAACTTCCAGGTTTGCCTATAGTTAAGAAGACATTTTATTTGTAATTATTCTGCTATCACTTATAAAAATTATGAAATTATTAGTTGTTATAAGGTTAAAACCTATGAAGCATTTAATTGGACATATTTTTAAAGGGAAGAATAATACTTGCTTACTTTATGAATAAGAAAATGTGAGAGGAAAACCTAGTACAAATCTCCTTATTTGTAATTCTGCCCCGTAGTCTGCCTGAGCAGAGTCAGCTCTGTGGAAATGTTTGCATGGCTTCACTTAGAAAACTGAATCCCCTCCCCCATTGCAAACACTCCTGGATGAGAGGAGGTAAGTGTTCTGGGTGAAAAAAGAGGTTCTTAAAGATTATAAATGCTCCGAGGGGCAGACAACTGGTACAGGAGGAGACAGGTTGAAAACTTACATAATTTAAGAGGAGGTAAACCGGGGGAGTTTGAGGATGATGGATCAAGGGTAGGTATGGATCTGTTGAAAACAAGATCCATGATTGACTATCACAGGAAGAGGGAGATTCAACCTATCTTCTCACTCTTGGATTCATTGACTTCCTGCTCACTGGGATCAGCCCTGATCCCCAACTTTGGAGACCATTAAATTAGATATAGTAGCTAAAACCTTTTCCACAAAGAGTAAACTAATAGCTCTTTAGTCACAGCTACTGTGTGGGACAGCGACCCTAACCCAAATTAAACTCAGAGACTTCTCAAGGTGGAAAGCAAAGGTTACCTTTATTGCAATCTCGAGAGATGGCTGTCTGCTCCTTCCATACAGGTGGAGAGAGAGAGAGAGAGAGAGACCAAATAACAGGGGTCGCCTTATAAAAGCAAATCTCCGACCACCACGAAAACAGGTCTCCACCCACCACTATCCCTTACCCCCTTAACTGGGGGTGGGCTTACATTCTAACTAGGAGGTGGGACTTACATTCCAGGCCCAAAATTCAAAGACAAGGAAAGAGGCAGAAAGCCATGGGCAAACGGCTCAGGTTGGGGGTGGGGCAGGGCTTATTCTTTCTGTTACATGCTTAAAAACAGTCTGAGCAGGGGAGGATTTTGAAAATAATAATCAAAAATTATTGACCTTTTGAGGAGGCTTTACCTCTGACAGTTCATCTCTCACACTACCATATGATATGATACAATGTAAATGCAATCTAATACAATAAATACTAAGTATCTACTATATTTCCGGTTCTGCTGCTAAGTGCTAGACATACAAATAAGAAAAAGACAATCCCCGTCCTTGGGGTTTACAATCTAGCACGGGAACACAACACAGAAATAGAAGCTAAAAAAAGGTGTGTGTGTGTCTGTGGTGGTGGCAACGTGGGAGTGAGGGGAGGGGAGCAGCATGTAGCAAATAGAGATGAGACTTCTACAAAGGCAGGCTCCATCTTCCGGCGTTCCAGAAGAGCCGAAGCAAATAAGGGCACTGATGAAGTGTGAGTACCAAAGCTGAAGCAATATTCATGATGAAGAGTTTCCTTACAATAAACTTATAAAGGATGTAGGCAGGGAGGGGGATATGATGATGTTGAAGGAGTCAAAACCAAGCAGAGAAGCTGGTGGCAAATAAATGAACCAGATGACTAACGAAACCAACTGACAAAAACCAGGCAAAGTCAAATCCTCCTGTTAAAGATAACTGTCTAGATAAGAACTCAATCCATCTATCAAACTCCCAGGATCATCTCTGGACTAGCTGCAAATTAATTTGAGCCAAAAAGAAAGGTAGATGAATCAATGTTCTCCATCCTCATGTCCCAAATGCTTGTCTTTATTATGTATATGTCACACTGAGTTATATTTTGGCTAACAAAAAATCACAGTGCATGTATGTCTGCCTGTCTCTCCCCAATATGTATACTAGTATATTAAATCACTATGTAGGTGTATATATATACAAACATACACACATATCCATATATGCATACTCTTTTAAAATAAAAGCCATTTGCCATATTTGAATTTTTTAAATTAACAAAAAATCAGCAATCTTTAACATCTTGAAACAGGCATCTACAGAGTGCAGTGGATAAAACTCTGTGCATAATTGCACTCATGGAGCTTACATTCTACTGGGCTGGTAAGACACAAACATGGATAACTATAAAACGAATTACAAAATAAATGTTTTCCAGGGGTGACAACAAAGTGTGGGGGTGGGCAGCTGACATGGAAGGTCATTACTGACAAGGCAGACCACAGTTTTCTTTTGGGCTTAAGGATGGGCAGGCAGTGGCCAGGCACAGAGGAGTCCAGGCAGGGCCTGATACTTCCCCTCTCTCAAAGGCCAAGGTTGCTCTGCTCCTCTTCCACTTCTGTCCAAAGGATTCTCGCCTGTTTGGGGTTGGGGTATTTTTCCCCCTCTCGGCTGCCTTAGCCAGGTAGAGCTTTCCAGGAAAGAGGAGGGGGAAGGGAAAAAAAAACCCACGCAGGGGAGAGTCCGGAAGAGGAAACCCTCCCCAACAGGACAGTTCGAGCGCTGGCCAGCGAAAAGAAGAGGCGCCTCTGGTCTTCGGGCACGCCTTCCCCAAAACCCGCAGGGCCATGTTCCACCTCCGAAGGCACTGGGGGACTCTGGTCGCCTCCGCGTCGAGGCGCCCGCCCTGGGTAGAGGTGGGTGCGAAGCCCCTCACTTCTCCTGGTTCCTGGGTGGGGGTGGGGCGGGCCAATGGGGGAATGCCGAGGCCGGCGGGGGTGGGATGGTAAAGAGGCGCAGGAGTCTGAGAGCTGCGGAGCCTCTCTTTGGTTCCCCTCGAGGGTGGAGGCGCGCGCAGGGGAGCGGGGGGCGCGCTGGGAGCGGGGGGCGCGCTGGGAGCAGGAGCTCCGCGCCTTTGCCTCCTGCGCACGGACCTCCGGCTGAGCGAGCACGGAGAGCCGGCTGAGGATGGGGACGTCCTGGACCCCCCCACCACCACCATCAGGCGTCGCCTACTTTTTGGACTAAAAAGTTTGGGAAGGGCAGGGGGTGAAAAAAGTGAAAGCGTGACGTGAAAGATGAAACGCCTGCTCCCCCAAAAAAAAGACGCCTTAGGAAAAAATTTCCCTTTTGCGTTGTGGGTAGAGCGGTGGACCTGGAGTCAGGGAGCTGTGTAACCCGGAGCAAGTCACTTAACCTCTGTCTTCCTCAGTTCCTCAACTGTAAAATGGTTATAATAATAGCAGCTACCTCAAAGGGTTGTAGTGACTGTCAAATAAGGTAATATTCGTGAAACACTTTGAAAATTTTAAAATTTTGCTAGATATTATTTATTGCCATGGCTCATTTTGCATATTACATTATTTAAATTGCTTCCTACAGCTTAGCTGCTCCTTGAGCAAGCAGTGAATACCTAATGTTTCTTTATCTTTTAACTCTGAGATTCAGTTCGATTGAACAAGTTTATTATATACCTACTATGTGCAGAGCACCAAAGTTACAGGTTCTTCCTTTCCTCTCCCTGCCAGCTTCCAGTGTTAGAGCAGGACCCCAGTTTGTCCAGTGCATAAGTCAAGTTTAATTCAGTAATTCCCCAGTTTATGGATATTTTTTTCCACCATGCAAATATAATACTTCTGCATTAGTTTCCAGACTTAGTAGCCAGTAGCCTGGCGCAATGAAAACAGACCTGGACTTGGAATCAAGAGGACACTGTTTTGAACCCTACTTCAGACTCTGCAAAGTGCTTTCCTTATTAACAGCTAAGTAAAGTAAGGTTGGATTATTGTACCCCTCGGTGTTATTTCCACCTTCCTTTTGAAATTACCTCTAGTTTACCCCATATCTATCTTGTATGTTTATAGTTGTTTTCATTGTCGTCTCCCCCTATTAGAACAAGAGCGCCTTGAAAACAAAGGCTGTTTTTGCTTTACTTTGTATTCCTAGAACTTAATATAGTTCCTGGCACATAGTAAGCACTTAATAAATGCTTGTTATCTTGGCTTGAGGAAACTGAGGCGGAGAGGTTAAAAGTGACTTGCCAAAATGAATGACTGAATGAATAAATGAATAGATTTTTTTAAGTGACTTGCCCAGGCCCACAGGTCACATGATTGTGTCATGAGCTGGGAATCAAATCCAAGTTGCTGAAGTATGAGTCCAGTGTTCTTTCCATTACATGATACTACCTCAGAAAATTTTATTGTGGAATTTAACTGATGAGCTGTCATGCCTGGCAGATAATTCTGTATCAAAAACTGGGCTTTAGTAAGTTCAGTGCAGTCAGGCCCACTGAGCTACTATGACCAAAAAAGTTCACCTGAAGGCAACTTTGTCCACATTTATCTAGGCTGATCATTAAATGATAAACATCTAGTCTGTGTATCTTGAGATACTCTAGAGGCTCTTCATGTAGTTTAGTGGGAAAAACACTGAATTTGGAGTAGGCGACCTGGATTTGACTTCCAGTTTAAATCTTTTGTAATCTTGCACATACTATTTCACTCTCCCTTGGCTCCCTTTCCTAATCTGTAAGGTGAAGTATTTGGAGTAGATCTCCCTTTCAGTTGCTTGATCTGTTAATTAATTATGTACGGAATTATTTCTGATAGTTCATCCCTCCCCCACACACCCCAAGAAAAGAAATTCACCCACTGGAGGTATTCCTTAGTCATTTCCTAATCCTTCTCACTGCATACTACTGTCCTAAATGCCATGAATAAATGTTTGCCTGGGTTCAAGCAAGCCCAATTCCACAGACACCATAAAATAATAAACTGTATGGGTAACACATTAAATTTCTATTAGGCCCATTGTCTGAATTTTTAGCAATCATTTTATTTGTAGCATTTGTTTTGTGTAAGTCCTGTATACCTGCTAATTGCATGACCTGCTCTCCTGATTTAACAGATCATAATAAAATATTAGGTTCAGAGACTGGATGGCCACTTATTCAGCATTTTATAGGAGAGATTCATGAGAATGGCAGGGAATTAGAAAAGATGACCTAAAAACCTTTCTGACTTGATATTCTAGAATTATGGTCATGAAGGCTGTGAGGTACCCTAGAGATCATCTTATCTGACCTCTTTATTTTATGGAGGAGGAAACTGCCCTAAGGGCATTAAATGACTTGCCCAGAGCTTTTTACTATACCTTGGCACTTCTTTCCTTCTTCCTTCCAAAGTAAGTTAAAAAGCATAAGGTGATGAGATAGATGCCCTCTTACTGGCTGCCATTCAATAGTCAGTAAATATGTATTAGGAGCCTACTGTGTGCCAGTTACTCTGCTGACCTTGGTAGTTAGGTTGCTATAGTGTTAAATATATAAATTGATTTAGTTAGTATTTATTTTTATTATATTTGCACAGTCCATTCAGGGACAGTTTTTTCACTCTCCAATGATTTTAAGTTTTCTTTTATTTCTAAAATAATCATTTGTTATTGTTTGTAAGTTTTCTCCAATGATTTTAAGTTTTCTTTTATTTCTAAAATAATCATTTGTTATTGTTTGTAAGTTTGGATATGTCTTAGTAAATTAATTCCCAAATGTTTTATGTACTTTATAGTTATTTTTAATTCTTCCTAGGTTTTGTTGTTACTGTGTAGGAATGGTGATAATTTTTATGAATTTATTTTTGTATATTGCTACTTTACTGAAGTTGTGAGGCCTTTCATGTAGTTTCTTTGCTGCTTCTCCTGAATTTTCTAAGTGAACCATCATGCCATCTGCAAATAAGGATAGCTTATTTATACCTTTAACTGCTCTTTTATCTTATTACTATAGTTAGCATTTCTAGTACTATATGTAATAGTTGGGAAGAATTCCAAGATCCATTGTAGGTAAGTTAGCTCTTTTAAATCTCTCTTCCTACTAATATTTTTAAAAAGACTCTTCCATAGTATAGAAAAGGCAGTGACTCACCTGAGCTTTCCCCAAAATTTTGTTGTTGTTGTTGTTGTTTGTGTTTTTTTTAATTAATTTAGTTTGAATTATAAACAATCACTTCCATAAGCTTTTGAATTTTAAATTTTCTCCTCCACCCTATCTACCTCCCTCCCCAAAATGGCATGCAATCTGATATAGGCTATACATATACATTCCTAGTAAACATTTTTTCACATTAGTAATGTTATAAGAATTAGAACCACTAGGAGGACCCAAAAGAAAGAGGAAACAACAGAAGAAAAAAAAATAGCAAATAGTATGCTTTGATCTATATATAAATAAAGTTACTATGGTGACAAGGAAGATCAAAATACACACTCAAGAAGATAACAAAGTCAAAGTTCCTACATGTAAAGCCTCTGAGAACAATATGAATTGGTCTCAGGCCATGGAAGGGCTTAAAAAGGATTTCAAAAATCAAGTAAGATCGAGGTAGAGGAAAAATTGGGAAGAGAAATGAGAGGGATGCAAGAAAATCACGAAAAAAGAGTCAACCTCTTGGTAAAGGAGACACACAAAAAAATACTAAAGAAAATAATACCTTAAAAAACAAACTAAGCCAAATGGTAAAAGAGGTACCAAAAAAAAAAAAAACGAGAAAATGCATTGAAAAACAGAATTGGCCAAATGGAAAAAAAGGCACAAAAATTCACTGAAGAAAAAAACTCCATAAAAAGTAGAGTTAGCTAAATGGTAAAGGAGGTCCAAAAGCTCACTGAAGAAAATAATTCCTTAAAAATTAGAATGGAGCAAATGGAAGCTAATGACTATGAGAAATCAAGAAACAATAAAATAAAACCAAAAGATGAAAAAATAGAAGACAATCTGAAATATCTCATTAGAAAAATAACTGACCTGGAAAATAGATCCAGCAGAGATAATTTTTACTACCTGAAAGCCATGATCAAAAAAAGAGCCCTAGACATCATCTTTCAGGAAATTGTCAAGGAAAATTGTCCTGCTATTCTAGAACCAAAAGGTAAAATAGAAATTTAAAGAATCTACCAATCACCTCCTGAAAGAGATCCCAAAATGAAAATTCCCAGGAATATTATAGACAAATTCCAGAGTTCCCAGGTCAACGAGAAAATGTTGCAAGCAGCCAGAAAGAAACAATTCAAGTGTCATAGAGCCACAGTCAGGATAACACAAGGTTTAGCAGCGTCCACATTAAAGGATCAGAGGTCTAGGAATATGGTATTCTGGAAGGCAAAGGAACTAGGATTACAACCAAGAATCATTTACCCTGCAAAACTGAGTATAATCTCCTAGGGGAAAAAAACTGATGTTCAATGAAATAGCGGACTTTCAGACATTCTTGATGAAAAGACCAGAGCTGAACGTAAGTTTGAGTTTCAAGTACAAGACTCAAGAAAAGCATAAAAAGGTAAACAGGAAAGAGAAATCATAAGGGACTCGATAAGGTTAAACTGCTCACATTCCTACATGGGAAGATGATACTTGTAACTAACTTTCTCATTATTAGGGCAGTTAGGAGTATATGTAGACAGAGGGCACAGGTGTGAGTTGAATATGAAGGGATGATAGCTAGAAAAATAAAATTAAGGGGTGAGAGGAATTCACTAGGAGAAAGGGAAAGAGAACAGTAGAATGGGGGAAATTATCTCACATAAAAAAGGCAAGTAAAAGCTTTTACAGGAAAGGGAAAGATGGGGGGGAAGGAGGGAGTGAACCTTATTTTCATCAGAATTGGCTCAAAGAGGGAATAACATATCCACTCAATTGGGTATGGAAACCTATCTTAACCTACAGGAAAGTAGGAAGGGAAGGAGAAAAGAGAAGGGTGGGGATGATAGAAGGCTAGGCAGATTAGGGGAGGCGGTAGTCAGAATCAAAACACTTTTGAGGAGGGTCAGAGAGAGAATAGAATAAACAGAGGGGAAAATACAGCTAGTAGTCATAAGTGTGGGGAAAAAAATTTGAAGCAAGTTTCTTTGATAAAAGCCTTATTTCTCTAACATAGAGAACTGAGCCAAATTTATAAAAATAAGAGCCATTCCCCAATTGATAAATGATCAAAAGGTATGGACAGTTTTCAGATGAAGTAATCAAAGCTATCTATAACCATATAAAAAATGCTCTAAATCACTATTGATTGGAGAAATGCAAATTAAAACAATTCTAAGGTACCACCTCATACCTATTAGATTGGTTAGTAGGACAGAAAAGGAAAATGACAAATGCTGGAGGGGATGTGGGGAAAATGAGACATTAATGCACTGTTGGTGGAGTTATGACCTGATTCAGCCATTCTGTAGAGCAAATTGGAACTCTGCCCAAAGGACTATAAAATTAGTTTGACCCTTTGACCTAGTGGTGCCACTACTAGGTCTGTATCAAAAAAGAGATAAAAAACTAAAAGGAAAAGGACCTATATGTACAAAAATATTTATAACAGCTCTTTTCTGGTGGCAAAAATTGGAAATTGAGGAGATGCCCATCAGTTGGGCAATGGCTGATCAAATTGTGGTATGTGATTGTGATGGAATGTTATTGTGCTATAAGAAATGATGAGTAGGATGCTCTCAGAAAAACCTGGACTTACAGAAGCTGACATAAAGTGAATGTACTGTGTGCAAAGTAACAGCAATATTGTAACATGATCAGCTGTGAATAACTTAGCTATTCTCAGCAATACAATGATCGAATACAACTCCGAAGGACTTATGATGAAAAATGCTATCCATCCCCAGAGAAAGAACTGATGGTGTCTGAATAGATTGAAGCATATGTACTTTTTTTACTTTCTCGTTTTCTACTTTTTCTATTTTTCTTCAGGTTTTTTTAATCCATTTTCTTCAAAACATGATTAATATGGACATATGTTTTGTGTGACTACACATCCATAACCTATACTGAATTGCATGCCTTCTCAATGGGGTTTGGTGGCGGGGGGGAGGTGAGGGAGTAAGGAAGAGAATTTGGAACTCAAAGTGTTAAAAATGAATGTTAAAAATTGCTTTTACATGTAATTGGGGAAAAATAAAATTCTAAACAAGCCTAAAAAAATGTTTATTGAATTGGGGAAAAAAAGAGACTCTTCCATTATGTTAAGTTCTTGAATAATAAAGGAAATGCCAAATAACCCTGAGATTTTATCTTATACTTACTAAATTAGGAAAGTCAAAAAATACAAAATCCACTCCTTGCATGAATATGGTAAACTAGATACACAACTATATTATTGTTGAATTTAGAATTTATCCAACCTCTTTGGAAAGCAATATGGAATTTTACCACAGAGGTTACAAAATTTTGCATGTCCTTTGAACAAGTGATTGCACTATTAGGACTGCGTATATCCATTTTTTAAAAAAAATATCCTAAGGAAGTTATTAGTAGGGGAAAAGGCCTAGTGTACAAAAATAGCCCTCACAGCATTTAATAAAAGACAGAAACAAAAAAGACACAAAATAAATGTCTTTTGATTGGGGAATAGTTATTAAAATTATGGTATGGAATTATAATGGTATATTATTTTGCTGTAAGAATTAACCAATGCATAAAGAATTCAAAGGACTATGGGAAAACTCATGTGAAATAATATAGTCCAGCACTTCCTAAACCCCATATGGGATAACAAAAGTTTTGGCAACAGTAAAAGGTTTCTGAACAAATTAAAAATCAAATGCGTAATGAATCTGAGGTGTTTCTGGCAGTGCTTCCCCATATTGCATCATGCAACTTCACTGCAGCCTTGGTTCTGAACACAAAGCATGCGCACTTTGGACTGCACATGCCCTCAGGCCATGCAGTGCCTAAGAGTGGAAAAAATTTAAGACACCCTGATATATTCAAGAAAGGGGGAAAAAATTGACCAAAATCAAATTTTCAGAAGGAAGTAACAAGATCTGGCATATGCTTTCTAAATTCAAGTTATTGTCTAACAAAATGTAATTATCTAAAGAAACCATAATTTAAACTAAATGTTTGTAACCGCCAACAGATACTTATAAGCGTGGGTGCAGCAAATTCATTCATAGATGTTCTATTTCCCAATAAAGCTCACATTTGGTCTTTGTCTCTAATTTGACAGACTATAAAGTTGGATTTCTGAGACATTTCAATTTGCTTTACTTTCTTCAGGTATGTGCATCTTTTGCTACAGATCCCAGACAATATGATGGGACGTTCTATGAATTTCGTACTTATATCATACAACCAGCCAAAATGAATGAATTCCTGGAAAACATTAATAAACATATTCACCTTCGTACAGCTCACTCTGAATTAGTTGGATGTTGGAGACAAGAGTTTGGAGGTGTGATGAATAAAGTCTTTCATATTTGGAAATATGGTATGTGTCATGCCATTTAAAATGTTTAATTTAGATTTTCATTCTAAGAAATTATATGATGTATATATATATATATATATATATATCTCTTAGATCTGAATTATTATGCATGGATTTGTTAAATAGAATTGTTAAGCAAAAAAGAAATAAATATGTTCAGTGTAGAATTGATTTATACAATATTGGAGAAAAAGGATTTTGTTAAGCAAAAAAGAAATATATTCAATGTTAAATTGATTTATACATTATTGAAGAAAAAGGATGACTACAAAAATTGCATAAGTTGGTTCCAGAAATATTAAGAGTAAGCAATTGTCCTTTTCAGTTCTATACTGTACATTCATTTATTCTGTATTTAAATTTTTTTCTAGATTTTGGTTTCTTCATCTATAAAATGCTACATAGTGAGATTTTAACCTTTTTGGTGCTATATTGCTATATTTGGTGCTATATTTTTTGGTGCCAATAATTCAAAAATTAGTTAATAAAATCTTTAAATCACTTGCCCAACTTTGACTTAACAACTTGAAGACAGTCTTGTCCAGAGCATTATGAGAGGCAGAACGGCACAGGGTGAAAAGAAAAGCAGACAAGGGGATGTACTGAATGAAGAAAGATGTTTTCTATTCATCAGTATAAGTGAGTGATTCTGAAGATGCATAGGTAGTCTGCAATATGGACAATGTGTGTGTAGATAATAGGTTTGTAGTAGGCCAGGCTAATTCCTCAGATTCAAGATTGGACCAAAATGAGATAGTTCATGGATCATTTAGCAGTTAACAAAAATGGATTTACTTAGCTAGAGCAGGGGAAGGATGTTCAGAGCCCTCCTCTGAAGGATACTCAGAGGACGTACAGCAAGAGTACAACCTTTATTCGAGGTGAATATTGCTCTCCTGTGCCAGTGCTGGTCTCCAGGTTGCTGTTCTCCAGGCAGAAGCTTTCTGAAAGAGCTAGAAATAATGAGTTGGCTATTTTGTACTCTGGAAACTAGGAAGCTGTATCAGTGTCCCAAGCCTTTAGTCCCTTGAGCCAACCAAGTATCAAGGACAGTTTCAATACCTTTTAAGGAAAAGAAAAGCCTAGTCAGGGGTGGGGAACCTGTGGCCTTCTAGGTCTTCAGGCGTGGCCCTTTTATTAAGGGATTTGTTCCTTGAAATTTGGATTCAGTCAAAGGGCCACATTTGAAGACCTAGAGGACTACATGTGGCCATCTATTATTTAGGTGACTTGATGTGGTATAATTGCTAAATTAAAAAGGAACCTCACTCACTCCCTGAACTGGACTTCTTGGTCGCTGGTGAAGTTCTGTGCCACGGACTTGATTTAGTCACTTTTTGTAATGGAACCACTCTTTTTCATTTCTATTCATTGCAGAGCCAGAAGGGCTGCAGTCTACTCTGTTATAGCATGGAAGTCATAGGAGGATGCCTTCGTGCCCCGACTGAAACAGTCTGGAACATAGCATAAAAAGTGATACACACAACAAAGACCACACCTCCCCCTCCCCTGGTGCTGCCCGTTCTACTTTTTTCTATTTGAGCATAACATAATCACTACGCTTAGAGTCAGGAGAGACCAAGGTTTCAATCCAACTTAATCACTCTTAATAGCCTTGTGACCATGGGTAAATCACTTAACTGCTCTAACCTCAGTTTCCTCATATTTAAAATAGGGATAATAGTAACTAACTGTCCTCATGTGGTTATTGTGACTTGAAGCTGAAAGTTATCTAATCTGACCCTGTAACTTTAGATGAGCAAACTTTGAGGCCTGGAGAGGTTAAAGGATTTGCCTAAGGTCACCCATGTAGTGACCATAGGTGGTGGGATTTAAACCTAGATGCTCTTACTGTGGTGTGAGTTTTCCTCATCACCACACTGAATAAGATAATGTATCTAAAGTTCTGTATAAACACCAGCTACTACTATTTTACCTTCTTATTCTAGTGTGTATTACTGTCCAGTAGTGTTTAATTTTATACATTCTGTAGTAAAGTTCAGCCTTGATACCTCATCATAGCACAGAGGTAACCCTGGAGTCTCAGAAGTTGTCATTGGAGAATCAGTCTCAGGAAAGTCCTGCTGCCCTAGATGGCTTTAAAAATTGGTCTGGTCATGGATTATCAGCCAAAGACCAGCCTTTCTGAGTTTGGAAGGTCTTGTCACTACAGAGGCTGCCTTGAAGGAATTTTTTAGACGTAGCAACTTATAAAACTATCTGCTTAGGTATGGATTGTTGGATAAAGCACTTATCTTGTTGAAATCATACATCTCTTGAAATGCTAAAATAAGAAGTAAATAGCACACATCCATTTTTTTTACATTTTTCTGTTACAGAACTTCCTTGATGCACAGATGCTTATTACATCAATTCAGAATAATGTTCCACAAAGTAGAACGCTCATAGCTATAGACACAAAATAAAACACCATTAACCTATGCCCCTAATTCAGTCTTTCTCTATTTTAACCTTGCACCTTAGGGACCTAGATTTTGTGCAAACAGTTCTGACACAATTGCATGCCATTTATAGCTTTAGTTTATTGGTCTGCCAGAGACTCAGATGTTAAGTAAGTGTTATAATAAAGGTCTACTTGATCTGCCAGTGGAACCACCAACACCATCTTGTCCACCTTCTCCTCTCAGACCTTGATGAAGACAGCCCAGGACCCTGAACCCAAAAGCCTTGGAAATAGCAATGCTTTCAGCCCAGTGCCCCCAGGTCTCTATCCAGGAAACAATCCTGGTGGAGATGCAGCTTGGCAACTGCTTCTGCAGGTGTGGCAGCTACAGGTTCTGAAGATCCAGAAAAGAAAGTTCTTGTCACCAAAGTCCTTGACATTGTTAAAAGGTTTGACATCAGAAACTGATAGGATTTTATCAGCATAAATGACATTAAAGAAGAGGCATCGCCATCTGTTTTACCAGTGATGCCCCCTAAGGATCATGGGCCCTTTCCAACTGACTTGGAGCTGAAACCTTCCACAGGTGTTATCTTCCGCACTAGAATGTGAGCTCCTTGAAAGCAGAGATTATCTTTTTGTATCTGTACCACTTAGCACATAATAAGAGTTTGGTTTATTCATGTATTCATTCATTCATCTGAATTCAGCTCTTACCACAAATCCAGTACCCTGTCTACTCTTTCACTCTTCTTTTTCATATCACTTTTCTTTGAGCATTTTTCCATGTCAGATTCTTATGGTTCATTAGATTTATTTAATTTACACAGTGAACAAAATAAATAATTTGAAGGGGAAAAAAGGACAGGAAGTATACTAGAATCCCATTAATTCACTAATTGTACCAAAAAAAAGAGAGAAGCAAAGAAGGCATATACTTCAGAAGTAAAGTTCATTATAATTTTATTTGTATTATTTTTTATTCAAAATGCAGTTGATCTTTAGTTTAACACTTAATGAAACTGAGAACTTTGTATTTTCATTATTCTTAACATTTCTTTCCTTTTCCTACAGATAATTTTGCTCATCGAGCTAAAGTTTGGGAAGCCTTAGCCAAGGATAAAGAATGGCAAGAAAAATTTATTTCCAAAAGCCTACCACTTATAGTCCAACAGAAGAACGAAATAACTTATCTAGTACCATGGTGCAAAATAGTAAAGCCTCCTAAAGAAGGTGAATCCTTCTCAGTCAGTAGAATTGTTCCTGAAGTAGACTCCTTGATAAAATTTTTAAGCCAGCAAGGCTTTTCTAAAAGTGTCATGTTAAAAAAACTGAGAGCAGTTACTTAACCTTCTATAGGAATGGGTGATAATTATTGAAAAGCTGTCCATTGGCCCTTTTTTGCTTATTCTTGGAGAAAAAAGTTAAATATTACAGTATTTTCCAAAGGGCACTAAGCCTTAGTCATAATTTACATTCACATTTCCAGAGTTAAAAGGTCACAGGTAAAGGTTGATGGGTCAGGTTTTGCCAAGAAAGAAAGAAATAATATCTTTAGAAAGGTTTTTTTAAGGGTCTGAAAGTTAAAATATAAAAGTAAACATGGAGACCAATGCTCTAACATTAATTCCTGAATATAGGCATGTTAGTGTACAGATTTTAATACAACTAATCTTAGTAATTTGTGTTCATTAAGATTAAATGTTTAAAGCAGGTCATTACTGGAACAGTCAGGTTCTTTTATTCTGGTCTAACTTTTTTTCTTCCTCTTTCTTATTTCTCAGTTCATATGAAAACTGTCTCTAAAGATCTGTGAACGTGTCCAGTAAATTGCCTCCTTGCTGATTTCTCTTCTTGCTGACTTAAAGAAATAATTACCTCAGACCCTTTTATAACAAGGTTAGATTAGAAAGGCATAACTTTTTAGTATATCATTTTTAATGTAAACTTAAATAATTTGCCAAAACCAGAACCTATTGAAAATTAAAGTCTTTACTTCACTCCAAATTCTTTTCTAAAATGTTTTTATGTAATCCGTCGAGTTTTAAAGCTGTTAGGGACCTTAGAAATTATCTAATCCTGGGGTGGGGAACCTGGAGCCTAGAGGCCACATGTGACCTTCTAGGTCCTTGGGTGAGACCTTCTGACTGAGCCCAAGTTTTACAGAACAAACTCTTTTATTAAGGGGATTTGTTCTGTGAAGTTTGGATTCAGTCAGCGGGCCGCATTGAGGACCTAGAGGGCCACGTGTAGCTTGGAGGGCACAGATTCCTTTCCACTGATCTAATCCAATTCCTTCATTTTGTAAATGTGGAAAATGAAATCCAGAGGTCTCAAATAACTTCTCTGAGGCCAGGAGGTGGCCAGACCTGGACCAGGACCCGGGTGTGATAAATTATAGATTGATTTTTTATTTTTATATTACTAAGAGGTTTTTTGTTTCTTAGTCCTTTTTGAATCCTTAGCCAGGTCTCTTCTTAGTGTTGAGCACCAGTGGACACATATGCCTTGCCTCTATTGTCATATCAGATCATAGTTTTCCATCTATTAAACTAATGTTTCTTCAACATTACCTTCACTGGCTCCTTCTTCCCTCTAACTCTATTCCCAGGGTTATTTCTTGGGTTCCCTTTTCTTCTCTCTCTACAATTGCCTGGAGAAAATAGTTTTATTTCTTTTGTAGAGAGGCAAGATTACTTTTAAGCATGTATATGGGTAGAAAGGAACAATAAATTAAGCTCTACTGGTTTGGAATTAGAAAAATACAGAAGAATCACTTAATCTATTGCCTAAAAATGGTAATCTAGTAAAGTAAAATACATAGAAAGAAAACATACGTATATTTCCACTGAAAATTTAGGGAAAGAAAAAAAAATATAGGAGGCTAAACAAAAATGTCTTAAGGGTTGTTTCTAATGGATATATTGAAGCAACTCAGAATTCCCATTCTCCTTGTAAATTCCCACAACAGACTATTGGGAATGGTAGGGTTTAGACATTTTCAGAATTAACTAACTCTTTCTTGTATATAACACATGCAAATGATTTTTAACTCTCAAATACAAGTAGACCTCCAACTCCATGTATATATATTGTTACTCAAGCAATATAAGAAGGATCTGTGATTTTTTTTTCTTCAGAATGAACAACTTGTGATATAGAAAGGCCCTTTAAGAAAGCAGATCCTATGATGTAGGAGAGAAGTACTAGGAAGATGCCTAGGGCATTTAGAGATCAAGGGACTTACTCAGGTTCACCTAGCCAATAAATGTCAGAAGCTAAGTGTGAACTCGAATCTCTCTGACTTCAAGCTCAGAGCTCTTATCTACCACACACACTGTACAGATAGCTTTTTTGTTGTTTAGTCACAGTCATGTACAATTCTTTGTGATCCCATTAGGAGTTTTCTTGGCAAAGATACTGGAGTGGTTTGCTGTTTCCTTCTCCACCTCATTTTACAGATGAGAAAACTGAGGTAAACAAGGTTAAGTGACTTGCCCAGAGTCACACAACTAGTAAATGTCTGAGACTGGATTTGAATTCAGGTCCTCCTGACTCCATGACCAGCACTGTATCCACTATGCCCCTTACCTGCCCAATAGATAGCTATACTTGAGCCAAAATGAACATGATTGGAATTTGCTTATATTCATTTTACGACTGATTTTCTAATTTTTTTCCCTTCTCTAGGAGTATATGAACTTGCTACCTTTCAGATGAAGCCTGGTGGGCCAGCTCTGTGGGGTGAACACTTTCAAAAAGCAGTGAATACTCATATCCAAGTAGGCTATTCAAAACTGATTGGAGTTTTCCACACTGAATATGGAACACTTAATAGAGGTACAGTTTGAATCTGTTTCTGATAATAAAAAATACTCTCTTTTCAGGAATGCTGTCCAAAATAACTGTCACTGAGTTACCTGGGTATTTTTTTTCCCTTTTCTCCTTAGGACAGCTTTCATTTTGTGAAACAGGTGGGTGGCAGAATGGATATAGAGCTATCCTTGAGAGTCACGAACAGCTGACTCCAAATCACTGGCTAGCTGTGTGACCTTGGGCAAGTCACTTGACCTCTCTAGCCTCAGTTTCTTCCTGTAAAACAGGGATGATAATAGCATCCATATCACAGGATTGTTGAGAGGTGAAATGAGATAGAATCTGAAAAAAGCTCTTTTTGAATCTTAAAGGGCAATAGGACTGATTTGTTATTGTTATTCTATACCACCTTTATGCAAAAATTACTTTTTGTTTATTAATTTATTTGAATTGACAAAACCAAATCATCCCAAAAACATTTAAAAACAGGAGAAGTACAGCAAAAAGATGAAAAATGCAAATGATGTGTAGACACTTTGTAATAAATTACTTTGTATATCTATCAGTTACAGGGGAGCTACCTCATGTGGACTCTAAAAGTGGCATGGTGCACAAGGAAGTAGCAGCAGCACCAAGGAAAGTAAAAGTGAGACAAGCAGCTAGATTAGACCAAGGAAAGAGGAATTCTGTGCCAGAGGAGACTCAGTTCTGAGGGCATTGAGGGTCTGATTCTCAAGATATCTAAAAGAGAAGGGAGGATGGCAAATCCTTGGTTTAAAAAAATCAGTGATCTCATCTTTTTTTAAAGGTAACTGAAAGAATATCACCTCATATGCTGCTTTCCCACCACTATAAAATCTTTAGGATATACATACATATGTAGAGAGAGATACATATACACACATATTTTTTATATATTTAAATATTCACACATATACCAAGGACAGACTTGAGAAGGGAATGGGAATTTTGCACAAACAGTATTTTGCAGCAGGTCACATCTTTATGGTCACATCATTGACTAAAAGGTTTGGAAGGTAAAAGTTCCTACTGTGCTCACTGCTTGTTGACTGCAGAAAAGCATTTGATTCAGTAGAATAAGGTATTCTTTATACATAGGGCGGAATTATAAAGGATTCTTTGAAAGATGTTGCAGAAGAGATCATCTTGTTATTCAGGGAAGGGTCTAAATAGAAGAGAAATTATTTCTCATCGATGAGGAGGTACTTCAAATACTCCTGTTTTTATTGCCTCCGGCCCCAGAACATTACAAAACCTCCTAAATTAGATCAAAAAAGTCCAGCCTTTCAACCAACACAGGAAAAAAAAACAAGGGGATAAAGGGTAATTATTGTCCAAATTATGCTATACAGGTGGATGTACAACCCATAGAGCTAATCCATCCATAGACATGTCCTAGACAGATGTGCAAGTGGGCAAGGAACTGGCCCAGAATTAAATACAATAGAGAACAGGCTGTCCTGTGCTATTTTGGGGAGATGTACAGTGCTTTTAATGACCCCCCCAACCTTCTCCCTGAAGCAGAGGTTCTTCTGTTAAATAACGGTGTTCTTATGATGCTGTTTGACTGTGAGAACTGGAATACCACAGTCTGAAGAGCTAAAAGTCTAAATCATTCAAAAGGCAATGGAGAGGCACAGGGTAGGTATGAAGAGGTTGTTACACATGAACTGTAAAGACTTTTTAAAAGAAGCAGAATAAAGCATAGCTTTATTTTCAAGAGGTCGAGGCCCCCCAAGCTCATTGAATGGATTCCCCATAGAGGATATGGAACAGGACCGTAAAATGAGAGGGCACTGATGGTTATGAGCTACGTCATTGGAGACAGTATTTACGTAAATGAGTTCACGGAGTCACTGAAGAGTTTTCTAATGTTTTGTGGATTCAGATTTATTTTACCTGATGAATGGAATATCAGGTTATTTGTTGCATGTTTCACTGATTGAAAATGTTGGACTTTACCTTTTGAATGCCAAGAAAAATGAATCACCTCTGTCTGATTTAGAGAGTGACTACTAAAGCAACCAGGAGACTTCAGTATGAATCCTAACTAGCAATGTAGTTTAACCTCTCTGGGTCCCCATTTCCTCATTTTTAAGATAACAGTGTAAAATAAAGGTTATAAATAGCAGAAAACCCAATAAATGTTTGAGTTCACTTGAAAGGAATCATAGTATCTTTGCAGTTGGAAGGGATTGTAGGAGGAAGGAAAAAAGGAAACAAAAATGTATTAAGTACAAACTATGTGCCAGACACTTTATGTGCACTTTACAAATATTATCTCACTCAGTCTTCACAACAGCTCTGGGGGGTAGGTCTCATTATTGTCCTCATTTAACAGTTAAAGAAACCGAGGCAGACAGAAGTTGAGTAACTTGCCCAGGATTATACAGTTAATAGCTAGTAAGGGTCTGAGGGTAAATTTGAATTCAGGTCTTCTTGACTCTGAGCCTAGTGCTCTCTCCATTGAGCCACCCAGCTGCCTCCTGGAGTTATATGGTATTAACTTCCCAAAAAAAAAAAAAAGATGCACCCTGATGAATGGACACCAGAAATTTTCTGAACACTTAGAGGCTCTCACTGCTCCACTAAGTGTTCCATTTTATTGCCTATTGCAGTCCTTTGTGTTGATCCAAAATTTGTCCTCTTGTAACTTCCACCCAGTAGTGTTCTGGAAGCCACAAGGAATGATTGAATGAAAAAATGCATTTATTAAGCTCTTAATAAGTAGAACACACTGTGCTAAAGTGCTGGAAGTACAAATACAAAATCACAAGGGTTCGTGCTCTCAGGAGTTTAGTCCATGTTCTAATAAGGGGACAACATATATAGGATATTTCAAATGCATCGTATCAAGCCCTACTTTAAATAGTTAAAAGATCCTATAATGTTTTAAAGAAGCCTTCTCTTTTCCAGGCTAAGCACTCCCGGTCCTTCCACTCTTGGTCATGCTGGCTGCCCTCTTCTAGACATCCTACAGATTGTCTCTTAGAATGCGTGTCATGGGGGGGCAGCTAGGTGGCGCAGTGGATAGAGCTCCAGCCCTGGATTCAAGAGGACCTGAGTTCAAATTTGGCCTCAGACACATAACAATAGCTGTGTGACCCTGGGCAGGTCACTTAACCCCCATTACCCAACAAAAATAAAACAAAAAAAAGAACGTGTGGCATGCAGAACTGAAAATAGTGTTGTAGCTGACTTCTTAACATTATATATTAGGGCTCCTTAGCTCATTTGTTTGGCTGCTGTAGATTAGATGAGTTTTTAGGGCAGCTGCATCACAGTGCTGACTCAGTAATGTTGAAGTAGCTAAAACCTCTACATCTTTTACAGTTGATTGCTGATAAACCTGGTCTTCCCTCTCCTGCACTTAATGTCATTACCTTTTTTTAGCCTAAATAAAGGACTTCACATTTTTCCTAAATAAATTTAATCATGGTTTTGGGAGTCATGTTCCATACTCTCTGGGTCATTTTTATCTCAAAGATGCTTTCTGATACTCTATTTATTCTGAAGTCTTTGAATTCCACCTCTGTCTCTATGGTATTCTCTTATTGGAAAAGTGTATTAAAGAATAAAACTCAGTGCTGTTGATTCACTTGGATGTGTATTGTACTTGTAATGAGATGTTCGGGTTTGGTTTCCACAGTTCATGTTCTTTGGTGGACTGAGACAGCAGACAGTCGAGCAGCTGGAAGACATAGATCCCATGAAGACGCCCGGGTTGTGGCAGCTGGTGAGCTGGGGGACTGGGTCCTTGTTCAGCATGAATTACTTTGGGTTCAAAACATGTTAAGCCAGAAGGTTTGTGTAGCTTTGAATTAATGTTAGAGGCAGCATTGCATAGTGAAAAGACTTCTGAATTTGGGAGGCCAAAGACCGGAATTCAAGCCCATAAATCTGCCACTCACTGGTTGCAAGCCTCAGTTTCCTCATTCATAAATTGGAAATAATACCTACCTTATTAGGGTAGTGAGAATTGAGGTTAAGGGCCATAAAAATGCTTTGTAGATATAAATGCTGTATTAATTTATTATTACTAACATATTATATTTTCCCCCCAGTTCGAGAGAGTTGCAACCACCTGAAATTTCATGAAAACATGCTTCTCATTCCAACACCATTTTCACCACTAAAGTAATTTTCTGCAGAAATATGAAGATATTTAGTGTCTGCATTATACCAACAATTTCTAATAAAGTTCCTTAAATTCACCTAACTTCTGTTTTTATTTGACTAAATTAGTGAGCTGATTAGCTCTGACAGCCCAGTTCACTGCCTCCATGCAAGGCGTCGGGCTAGACACTTGGGGTGTATGGACAAAATCAGAATAGCTACTGGCTTCCAAGCGTTTTACTGTCCTCGTCTTGGTACTGAATGGGACGTTCTTCAAGTCATCCACTGTTTCACTAAATCTTGATGATCACTTTCTTCAGTGACATTTCAGTGTCTGGTAGATTTATTGAAAACATTTCTGGTCATTAATTTGTTGTATTTTAACATTATTGCATTAATTTTTTTTCTTTTTCTCTTATCGAATGTGTTGTCTTTGTTTGCTTTCCTAGTATACCTTATGATCCAGTGATCTAATCTTATTTGAGTTATGAACTAGCTGTTTATTAGGTGAAAATGTACTTTTCCATGACCAAGATTACAAAAGAAAAATTATTTTTTCTGCTGTTTCAAACCTATTTCTCTTCAGTACCATTTTTACCTGATAAAGTTTATTTTATAAATGGACGTATATAAACATCAGGGGGGAAAAATGTAAGTTTTCTCTTTGTAGGAAAAATGCCAAAGTTGTTTCTGTATATAAAAAGCTATTTATAACTTGTCAAAAATACCCTCCATCAAAGTATTCACTCTGATACCTCTACATCAGTGGTGTCAAATTCAAATAAAAACAGGGGCCACTAATGCATACATAAGGATCCCTGTGGGATGCAAATTAACTTAGAAAACCTCATATTATTATCTGTTTTACTGTATTTCATTTGTCAAATATTTCCCAATTATATTTTAATCCTATTCGGGCCCCACTTGCAAATATTGTGGGCCAATGGGGCACACGTGTGATACCTCTTTTCTATATGGACATTCTCAAAGGTTATATCAGTAAAGCCTGAGGTCTGGCAATCCTACCAAACTAGAAAGATTTCAAGCATAGACCTGGCAGCAGACTTAGTTATCTGAGGACCAGTCTCACTCATTTCAGGGAGGTTCATCACCAAAAGATTTTTTTCCCCCTACCATATCAATTTAAAAAAAAAAAAGGAGAGTACACATATTATTTATCAATAGAGAAAGTACCTACTCCTATGAAAACATTTCTGTAAAAATATGCTGATAACATAACTTTTGTTTTTCTTTATTTCATTGTGAATGGCTGTTTAGCCAAGATACTTGGATTTCCAATGTCTTCAAAATTAAGGAAATCTTGTCTGTTACCAGATACTTGACCTAATAAAAAGAGCTAGACATTCTCCATTGTGCAATTTTTAGCATATTACCTTCTTTCAAACCACCCATTTTAAATCTTTCCTGTACTATATCATTTTTTAACTAGTAATCATTGTGGTCTTACACCAAAATTTGCACAGGTTCATTTTCTCAATTGTTTTTCATTGTTTTGTGATGACACATTGGTCAGAATTTTTTGCCATTGTACTCCATGATGTTTTGCAAATATAATTTTACTCTGAACTGTTATCTTTGAAAACCATGTTTCTCTACTTGGCAAAATAAAAAGATCTCTGATCAAGGTTGTTTCTCACTTATTTTGGCCTCCTCATTGTGACGGCTATTTCATATCAGACAAACATTTAAAATGGTTAATACTTAGATTGGGCTTTTCTTTTATCCACTTCCCATTTTTCAGATTCAACAGTTTGTTTTAGGCTGGAATTATTATGACTATATTCAGTATTTTCTCATTTCTTTTGTTCTAATTTGGTACTAGTAAGTTCGCATTTGCCTTTGCTATAACTTGTCAGTGGTTTGCATGCACATAGCTTGCTGATCCCCATGTCATTGACCAGTTATTTACTGGGAGTTCTCCCAAGGTGGTGTCAACCCAAAATAAAGAGGGCTACCACAGCAGCAACAAGGATCTTAATTGAGGCAAGGGATTGCAGTTTGGGACACCACACAGCACTGGAGTACAGGAGTGCAAAAGGAGCAGGAAGGGCAGGGTTTAAATACACTTCAACCAGGAGGAATGGACAGGAACGGCAGCATCTGGGAAGAGCTAAGTTGCTTTGCAGAATAGCCAAAGGTTGGGGAGTGATTGACATCTGATCAGAACAACAGGCTCCAGGTACAGTGAGTTTCCACAGATACCAGGAGACCTGCTCCAACCATGTGGTCAGTGAAGTCAAGGATTACTGCAAAAAATGGCAAAGCTGTGAAAAATCCCAGCTCCTCTGTATTGCCCATGCAAATAAATAAAAATGCCCCCCCAAATAAATTGAGAGAGGAGAAAAAGGTAACATCTAAAACCCTTAAAAGAGGGGCAGCTAGGTGGCACAGTGGATAGAGCACTGGCCCTGAAGTCAGGAGGACCTGAGTTCAAATCTCACCTCAGACCAAATACTTGACACTTAACTAGCTGTGTGACCCTGGGCAAGTCGCTTGACCCCAACTGCCTAATTAAAAAAAAAAAAACCTTAAAAGAGAATGGTTTCTTAGGTAAAACAGGATGAGGACATGGACAAAAGGGATGGGGGGGGGTTTAAGGGTGGGGAAGAGAACATTTAAAAAAACAATTAACTCCAATACTGCCTAGAGAAATGAAACTGAACCTAGTATAGGACATGTCATATTGGATAATAAATGTATGAAAAGGAAGAGGCAAATTTGGTGTTAGCAGCATCCTGAAAAATTCACAAAAATTTGTAACAAAAGCCAACCATGTGGAAACAAGATAAAAAGAGTAATAGCTGGACCACAGACTCACACGCTTATAGATCTAAAGCTGGAATGAACTCACAGGCTGTCTAATTAAGAAAATGAGGCCAAAGGGTAGTAAATCAGACTTAAAAGGTGTCATCCAGAAAACCTAAGGCAAAAGTGCAATGTGGCAGCCAGATAAAGTTAACATGATTCTAGAATACATTAATAGTAGTGTTCAGAGTGAAGGAGGTAAGAGTTCTGCTGTGTTCTGCCCTAGGCAGATCACATCTTAGGTATCAAGTTCTTAGCACCACATTTTAGAAGGGCTGTTGTCAAGCAGAACCAATGCAGAAGAGCTCTAGCATGTACTATAGCCTAGGAAGCATTCCATTTGAGCATCAAAACAGCTGGGGATTATTTAGCCTAGAGTGGAGAAAATTACACACACACATAGCTGTCTTCAAGTATTTGAAAGATTGTCTTGCAGAAAAGGATGTTTTAGTGAAAGTTTCAACTAACTCAATATTTAAGGGGGAGGAAATTCCTAATAATTAGAACTAAGAATAAGTTGTTTGAAGAGATAAGAAATTTCCTTATAACAGGAAAAAGGCTAAATGATCAGTTGTTGGGGATAATGGATCATGGTTTTTCAGACAAGATTTCATGATTTGGGAAGAATTTGGACCAGGAGATCACCAGGGATACTTCAATTTGTAGTCTAAGATGTAACATTGTGTGATTTACATTTTTTGCTGAGGACCTACCCTAAACGGTTTAGCCAGTGTGAGTATATAGTTCTTGATATGAAAATAGCTATGTGATATCATTTTAACAATATAGTAAGTGTGCCCATCAACGCATGAAAGTAAATTTATATAGACCAAAGAACTGTCACAGCTTTATTTTGGTGACTCAATACAACATAGAAATATGATTTTTAATAATTCATATAAAGTTACTGACAATACAATTTTTTTCTTTTTTTTATTTTAATGAAAATTATTTAACTTAGAAACCTATTGTGAAACCTGGTCTAGTCTTTTGCAGTTAACAGATATTCCAGTGCAAAAATAGATCCCATTACAGACAGCATAAAGTGCTTGGAATGAAGGACCAACAATATCCGAAAAAGCACAAAAAACAGAGCTTTATCACGAGGTGTTTGGCTTGGGGGGGGTGGAGGGAGAAGAGGAATATACCTAATCCTTAGTAAAATACTAACATACTATAAAAAGGGATGCAACAGTTTTTGAAAGAGCATCTGGTAACAAGGATTCAGATGAATATTTCATTATCAAAGTGGTTCAGTACCACACAACACATGGCTCTTTGGAAAAATTTTACCTGATGTATATAGAAGGGGAAAATCAATAGAAATCACCTTAATAAATGATTGATGGTCAATGAACGCATAATGTACAATATTCAAGAGCTGCAGAGCTCCCAGTACACTTAAAACACAGTAGTTTCAGGATTTGTTGTTTTTCAACAACTGAACTATCTAGAGATTCCTTCTCAGATTCACAGTTAATGATAAAATTCCAAACTGTCAAGAGGAAAAAGTAGTAGACATCTTTCAAGGCATATTTGGGGGAAGGCTTAAAACCCATAACTTTAGGTTTCCACAGGGCTGACACAATTAAGTTTTAAAATTTTAAGCAGGGAGTTCAAAAAAATGTCTCCTATCACTGAATCATGAATAAAAATAATGGGGACTTCTGTTTACTTATTTTGTATAATGAAAGACAGAGCACAATCAGATGAAATGATATCTCTTATGTAACTCTTATCAAGACTGACTCTAACTACAGAACGAAATGCTTTTGTTCTGAAAGCTGAAATTAT